GGCAAATCTCTCTCTGATCCACAAGGGCTACGACCGCCTCTGTTGGTGACAACCTGGTGCAGACTTCGGCCAAACTGACCTCAGGACTCCAGGGAAACAATGGATTAATCACTAAAACTCCGAAAAATGGAAAATATGCTAAGTTCCATACAACCAGTGAGGACGGATCGTCCAAGTATCTAAGTTACAACTATATTTATCCACACCTTCACAATCAATCACTAAGGCGACAAGTGAAACTTTAGCGTTTTCCTTTGTTTCATGCTTTTAAAAAAGTTCTGTACAATCTGCTAACAATATCCATCAAAATTAACTAAAGATTAGCAAATGGGATTTTTTGTGACACATCCGGACACCGCTCATTATCTGGGTACCGCTTTCATTCCATTAATTTCCTCGGAACGATGATCCACGAAGGTCTTCGGATTTGTGTGTGCGTTCAGGCGCCCACTGAGAAATTTCTTCGTTCATGTTTGTGAACGTCATTGAATGTCCGTCGACTCAATTTTCCTTGAACTGCGAGGGCGCTCTCAGTTTATCAATGAAGGAAGTCCTAAAGAAGTGTCCTACCAATTCCACAACCGGAGATATTCAACCAGTGCAAGGCACAACCGCAGACCTTCTGCGTGGTATTGCATCTCTACCACTGTTCGTTCCGCGCTCCCAGCCAATGAAATCACATGCAAGAAAAACAGTAGCTAACCTTTAGTTTGAATGTATTTCGTTCGAATTAGTTAGCCTCAAGATATCATATTAGGCTTAAGTTTAACCATCAACAATGAGATATAGGCTAATACTTACTTAATAATTCGAAAAACCGACTTTCTATAAACCTCGGCACAGATGGTTGTTATATTCATTTATATGGTCTTATAAACTGATCTTCTTAAGCTGATGCGAGGTTGGCACAGGTCTTCGTTGTCGTTGTTGTTGATGTTGGTCGATGGTCGACGTTTCGGCGACTTCGCCTCCCACAGAGCGTGAGAGTATTTTATATTAGAATATTTTTATTATTCGGTGGAAAAAATGTTAAAGTATTAATGAAGATCAAACTTTTAAATAGACACTATTTTTAACAGAAAGGACACTCACCGTGATGTTACGTGTGGGACTGCCCCACACGTTGTTCACGTGGGGTCGCGAGCAAGACACATCCCGGGGTCAAAATATCATTTTGAAAAAGAACGCTAGGTCACGCGTGATAGTGAGGCATCCGTCTTTCCGGTTCATCTTTGGTTTTTTGAAATTTATCAAAAATCAACGCGCAAAACTCTTGAGGCGCTTTGGATAAATTTCAAAAATCTAAAGAAGAACCAGAGAGACGAATGCCTCACTATCACACGTGACCTGGCGCCCTGTTGCAAAATGATATTTTGACCCCGGGGTGTGTCTTGCTCGCGACCACACGTGAACAACGTGTGGGGCAGTTCCACACGTAACATCACGGTGAGTGGCCTTTCTGTTCAATATAGTGTCTATTTAAAAGTTTGATCTTCATTAATACTTTAACCTTTTTCCACCGAATAATAAAAATATCCTGATATAAAATACGTCCAGGCTCTGAGGAAGGCGAAGTCGCCGAAACGTCAGCCATCGACCAACCCAACAGCATCAACAACAATGACAACGACAACGAAAACTGATACCAACCTCGCATCAGCTTAAGAAGATCAATTTATAAGATCATATGAATAAAAAAATGTTACTTACTTACTTAGCTACTTGGATACTTAGATGGCCCATCTTCAGTAGTACTGGCGTTAGCATAATTTCCATTCGTTTATCACACTATCGCCCTCCATCGCGGTTGTCTATAATGAACATGGTGACGTCCGCTAGGTCCATTCCGAATTTCTAAAATCCTTTCCAGTTGGAATGCAGAAGGTTGACGTTAGCCACGAACACGTCCGGCCATCGTTTGGGTGGTCTTCCAAGAGGATTCTTGCATTCTCTTTGAATCCACTGTACTGTTTTTCTCGTGCATCTGTCATCCTCACGTCGTATTAAGTGACTGGCCCATATGTGTTTCGTTCTCAATGTAGACTCTCTTAGATCTCTTAAGATGAGAGAGGTTCCGGAGGTCTGAGCTGTGCATTCCGGCTAGACTTTGTGAGTGCCGGTTAAATTTCAGAAGAAATTGTTCAAGCGCTCTGTGGATGGTGCATAATTTCTTTACGTGGTCGAAGTATCAGCTTGTGTAGTACGACATTACGAGGGCTGTTGAATCGAGAAGGTGAGCGCAGAGTTCTGGGTCCGTTGTTGGTCGGCGGGCTCTTCAAGTGGCCGAATGTGAACCCTGCTTCTCGCCGTCTTCGGTTTAATTTCTCCTTCGTGTTAGTCTCCATGTTCATTCAATGTCCAGGTTACACGGATGAGGTGGCCTCTGCAATAGGAAAACAATCTAGTTCGATTTGCTCACTTTCACACCATGGATTTTTTTTTTGAACAGGGTCTTCTTCCGATTTATGCAGAGTTCAATACTTTTTCCTGCTTCGTTGATTTAACTGATCATCGCCTCTGCTTGTTGTGCTCCTCGAAAAGATTGCGATACTATCTGCAAAACAAAGATTTGATAGGAATTTTCTCTCAATGCATATACCCTTCTTGTCCCAATCGCGTGACTTAATTATCCGCTGCAGAGCAGTGGTAAACAACTTTGGAGATATTGAGTCGCCTTCTCGAACCCCTCTTTCTGTGGGTAAAGTGAGGCTCGGTGAAAAAGCTGTATATTTGTGCTTTTTCTGATAACAGTGGCTAATGTTTGTGTATAGGGCGGCTCCACTCCTTGGTCAACAAGCGCTGATAGGACTGCATTCATTTCGACGCTGTCAAACGATTTCTCGTATTCGATACAGGTTAAGATAAAGGGCAGATGGTACTCCCGTCAGACTTCTATGTCCCCTGACACGGTTTGGATGTAGTCCATACAGCAGAATCTCTATGGGAATCCTACTTCCTCTTGCTACATAACAAGCAGTCTAGGCTGTTACACTCTTACAAACCGTGATCTGTCTTTTCTACATGGTTAATTTGCTAAGTATTAGAAAAAGGTGATTCGGCAATTGCCGACCTTATGGATGTTTTCAGATTCTTGGTACCCAATTCTTCTACTGATCTTAGACCACTGTGGAGTGTTAGCGAGTAACGTCATGCGATCTTCGGAGACGATCCGATGTCCACAAACGGTGTCTGCCCTATTTCGTGCTTCTGACACAGAATATTTAGTAGTCACAATCGTTTATTCCACTTAGCTTACAACATTAGTGTTTTCTCGTTATTTTTCAACAACAAACAATATAGAAAAGCTACGACGTCCCGCGATGAACACTAAAGAAGTGTTTTGCTTTTGTACATAAATCACTATACAATATTCTTCCGACGCTCTGAATCCTAGCACGATCCAATGATACACGTCAACAACCCAACCCAAAATCGTTCGGAGTACGAACATTCAAATGATCAACTTCAGAGAAGATGTGAAATCGGCGACATTCGGCCACTCGTGCTAGATGGCACTCATCTGATAGTAGAACATCTACAGCGAAATGCCGCCGAATGGCAACAGCAAGTAAAATAAAAACTGCTTAAGAAAGAAGGAAGTAAAAGAAAGGAAGAAGGAGAAAAAGAACAGTAGTGGACCAGAAAGATATAAACATTCCCGAAATCATCTATACCGGAAAAAATTCTATCACTTAGTCATATGACTACGCCGGTGAGCTTCACACGCGTTTTGTACATCACATAGCTTGTTTCTGATATATGTTGAAACTCTAGTTGCAGTCACTAATAACGAATGAATAAGAATGTCACAACGACATAACAGTAATCATAACGAATCATTTGACATTTTCTGTCATGAATGGACGATATGAAGCACGAAAGAGACATCACCAGTATGGGTTGGTGTTGTTTGTTATGACATACATCGATCATCTTCAACGCGAACTGACGTTACCTACATACTCTAGCCGAGACGCTACGATAAGCACGAACAAAACATCAGGAAACCAGATGTGTATGTGTGTGTATGCCGATAGAGAAATATACATTGGCTTGTGTATATATATGTATAGAAAATATCAGAATAAATAAATTATGGAGTAAATTAGTATTCTCAACAGAAAAAGTGACATATCGGTGTACTCGAATTAGCACTATGACGGGAGGGGTTGAAAACACGGTAGAGGCACAATACGACGAACTGTGTATGCTCTTCAATTGAGAACTATACAGCGCCCGGAAACTCAAAAATCCAAGAGCCAAAGGCGCGACATTCTACTACGCAATTTGATCTCCTAACCAATCGATAATGACAATAGCATGGCGCGCGCCAGATGTACCCGAGCGCTATTTCAGCCGATTGCACCGACGCGCGCCATTTATTACTATGTCGAGATAATTAATATTGCCATTACTATTGTTACTATTATTACTATATTATTAGACTATTAATATTACGATGATATTCTCTTCAGACAACGGGAATCCATTGTGTCGTGTTGCGTGGGAGGTAGAAGAGCGTCGTTCGTGGAATGTGTCCAGCAACTGTGCTCTGTGGATTGTAAATGTTCAGCGAAACCTGTAAAACGGAAACTCCAGGAAACACAACAAACAGGTTTGAAAGGCCATAAAGAGATGAAGTTTTGGGCCGAATTGTTACTAAGAAATGGTGCACGTTAACGAGCTTATTATTGCAGACCGCGAAATTTATCCGTAATGAATTCGTGAGTAAGACATTTTCGTTGAATGCTGAGTCACTCAGCTTCAGTTCCGTTGAAGTCTGCTCAACTACAAGCAATAATGCTTGTGTTCTATCATTTCATACGAATTTTCAAACCAACAAGGAAAAACAACGTCGAAGGCTCTGACGTCAATTCAGCAAGTAAATGAACATCTTATCGCAAAGCGAAATCTAATCATGCACAGTGCCATGGTCTATTTTTCCTCTTTACTTTAAGTTCTGCCTTTCTTTCTCCTTTCCTAAGAAATCAAGGATGATTTCATACCTGAAACGCAAGTCGGTCGATCATCACCAAAGTTTGACGCCTTTCATGGCTCATCAAACACACTGTACTCTCGCTAACAACACGATGTAGGAGCATTAGGAAGTCGTATTTAGCTTGACCTTGGGCTAAAATCGTCGATGGTGCCATACTCATCGACGCTTCCGAATCCGTTTCGTCACCAGAGCTCGACCACTGCAAAAATATGCGACGTTCCAGGAAGATTTTTTCTTCTGCTTAGAAACTTTCTATTTTTGTTTTAAACTCTTTCAAGAACAGAAAGAAATGGTAGTCTCAATACGCCACAATGTAGTAGATATTTGTATAATGCTAAGATATTTGCAAAACTCCGGACCGCAGGTGTCTGCAGTGGGGAACGAACACCCCATTGTCCTTTCTGGAGAGTAACGCCTTCACCACCACACCATGCGAGTCCTTCGTTTCGCTCTCCTTTTTTAGGCTCTCGAGACCAACCCCGTTGACGGGTTATTGCTGATGGCAAGTGATCGAACGAACCAGCTGAGAGACAGGCGAAACGAAGGACCCGCATGGTGTAGTGGTGAACGCGTTACTCCCCGGGAAGGACAGTAGCGCGTTCGTTCCCCATCGCAGACACCTGCGGTCTGGGGTTTTGCAAATATCTCAGCATTATATAAGTTATGTTTCGCAGCATACCCTGCCGTTAAAAAATAAAAAAGAATAGGCAGTAAATAAAAAGGTTGAGGTAGTAGATATTGTATATTCCAAAAAGAATCTATCACATAGCGTTGTACACTCTGCTTCCTAAAAAAACAGTTACAGCTAAAAGTTTTTATTTCCAGTACGGTAACTCTTTGAAAGGGATATTTTGATTTATTTTTCCCAAGTACAAATATGAGACATTATTTTAAAAGCCTTATCAGGCGTGCGTGGCGCTGTGGTCGGAAGCGCTCTGCAACACACGTGGAATCGTTCCCCACGCCCATGGCCCAGCAGCCGTCCATTCCTACGGGGTCGGGAAATTGGTACCAGACTTGTCTGGGAAGGTAGCTGCACTGGGTACATACATTGATAGGCCACTGCGAATCATTGTAAAGGCCAGATATGCATTCAATCTCCTCCAAACGATGCTTGATGAAGTCGAATTTATGGCGCATCCCTCAGGGACTGATCAACGCCGGGAACTTTATCCTTCTATCTTTTGTTTTGTAACCCTTAACAAAAACAAAAACTTGTTGCCCCTAGTGATTGCTAACAAGGCTTGTATTGCTAAGTGAGTTTCTTAAATACGCAAACAATGGGCTATCTACGCTTCATATATAAAACAACTGAATAGAATTCGTTACAACTCGTCCAACTCGTCCATTCATCAGAGACAAATCGTCCAAATTTCACCAACGGCAAGCAGTAGCCATAGCAGTTTTCTGTTAACGTTCGCTATTTCCGCGAATGAATAGGCCAATTAATAACGCTGTATTAATATTTGCAATGACGCAGAGTCAATTAGCCTCCGGGTCGGTGAAAGCCATAAAGAAACCATATGTTAACGTTTGATTAACTCCATACATTCTGACATAAGTACGCAGCTGTTACCTCTGTCGTGTAATTTTAACTGGAATTACCGCAGTCCTTTCAAAGAGAAGTCGTATTTCGAAGTCACATGACGACAGCAGCCGTCGACTGCGGCGATAACTTCGGTGAAGTAAATTGACGCAATCCGATAGTCGGTCGGTTAATGACTTACTGCATCAGAATCAATGCATTCAGAAAGACAGAAAGACAAACAGACAGCTTCAAAGACCAGGAAATTCGTTTTTCCTACAAAAGAAAACCCGTTACGAGCGACAAGTGAGATCGAATCCGAAATAACATAGCAGCTGTAGTTTCTCGAGCGTCATAATCCTATGAGAACGATTACGGTATATCAACCTGAGGGCTTTTTGTAAGTGTCCTTCATTATTCCATGTTAAGCTTTAATTTAGCTACTTAAATTCCTCAAAAAGCTGATATCAAGCGAAATGCGGCGTTGAAATAAAGTCAAGAGTGATTCACTGAGTAGATGACGGAAACTTCAGTTGTATCCACTACCCATAGCCTTGACGTATTGTGCAGTATATTATACGATGCTTTCTTTCATGAGGCAAATATCCATCACTGTACGTGAATACAAACATACATACACATACAAATATGCATACAAACATATATGAACACATACGCACACATGCATACATACATACATACAGACATTCACAGGCATATACATATATATATGCCGAAAATGAGACATAAGACATACCCGCACGCCACGAGATAGCGATTACGTGAAAAATTCAGTTTCCGAAACCATATGTTCAGACAACAGACAACCATCGCAATACTCACAATACAGGTGATGAACTCGACATAAAGAACACCATATGAGACGTAGAGCACCAGTATGCAAACCGATTTATGGTTATCAGACCATTCTAGGGCACCCCGGAACACTCTTATGATAAAACGATTTTGATACATCAGTCTCCGGCCGACACGATCAGCATTCAGAATCTAACCAGAAAATCCACTGATTAAGCTAATCACCTGCGTCCCTACTACCACTCATTAACTCAGTATTGTTACTAAGTACGACGGAGTAAATTTGTGAGGACGCTAATACGGTGCTGGTCGATCATAATGTGTCATGACATATCCATCCGTTCTACAATCTTAGCTACAGTTTTTCACATAAGTTTACACTCTAGCAAGTTAGCGCATACTGATCCGTTTTCGCATTGTTCTGATGAGTACCGGGACGACCGCGACGAGGCTGTGGTGGGAAGAAAATGCAATTGTGATGGGATAACAACAGCGCGGATAGACAGTAACTCAATTAGCAACGAATGGAATGCTGCTTCTCCTTCTGTCCAGTAACAGCTAAGTAATTTTTCATCATAACATACGAAAGAAAACGAGATTTATGGGATCAACCTCATTTGAAAAGACAACTAACAAGCAAGCTTATAAGTAATTGCGGTAGATGATTTACGTTTAGCTCCCCATTTTCTAGAAATTTCTTCAAAAAAGTGATAAAGTGCAGCACTCGGTTATCTGCATTTCATTAAAAAATGATAGCATAGTAATTAAGTTTCGCCAAAGCGTTGACTCCGAAGCCGAGGAGTCGATTTAGTGGCGGCGTTAGTCCTTTCCAACGGCACGCCATTAACGTCATTTCGTAATTCGCGTAAGAACCGCATAGATTAATGAGCCTCAATAAAGCAGAATTCAAACACCGTATGACCGCCATAATTTTGTTACCGTATGAACAAAATCAGAACTTTATATGTTCTTTTATTCAGTGGTTGGCATATTTACCGAATACATATCTCTCCTGACAAATTTTCTCTTTCAGCCTTCTTCTTGATGTGGTCAAGGTTCTCACAAACAGAAAAGCGTCAATGACCGAACAATCATCGCTTGATGGTTAAAGCAATCCAGGTTTGAACAGAGTTTATATCAAAGCAGAAGAAAAAGCATTAACTACTAGTTTAGTGCTTGGCAAAGTATAGCTGACTACAAGAACACAGATTTTATGTCGTGAATCCCTCAGCGAAATTGGATGTGGATAAGTTCTACGTGGTCCAAATTACTTGTGTAGCTAGTAGTGATGTGATAAGCGGCTTTCTGAGCATAGTTTAAGTTAGTTTCTCATCAAGCGCATCCCCACTAAGGCGAGGCAGTGATCTTATCCGTGAACTTCCTCACTCAGAAAAAATGACTCTAATCAAATTTAGGAAACGCCAGCACATTCGGTGCTCTTTTGCGATTCTATTGCCTTCTATGTGGATAATAATGGGGCTCTAATCAGAACAACGACCAAGCTCATGGATGAGGTGGTTAAACAACCAACGTAACTGTTTATACAGTCAGACGACCACAGCGTAACGGATAATTGCGATTCTTTGCTCTACGAAGCACCAAGAGACTAAAAGACGGGGCGGATCTGCAAAAACGAACCTGATCATTGTTCGAGCCGAAGTGGTTGTCGAGATAGTTTCGTAGCTTCTGCTCTTGACTAACCACATCGGGAAAATCAATGAAGAAACGAGAGCACATATATCTGAAATTAAGAGCACTCTGTAGGAGGAACCAGGAAATCTCCTCACAACTGTCCAAAAAGACTACCTTCGTCATAAATTCATCACAAAATTCATTGAATTCTTCCTAACATTTAGAACTGCACTTAGATTCATTCACTGCTAGACATGAAAAGTAACTTTAGCTCTATTTTTTCAACGCTCATAAATTAGGAAACATATAGAGAATAACAATAACCTTTCTAGTTGTCGACATTTTGATGGCCTAGCTGCTTTATAGCCTCTTATAAGTAAATGACAGTATTTAAGTAGACCACCACCACGAATTTCTTCCGGTCGACGTGTGTCAATTAATCGCTCTTGTAGATGAGCCATGGCCTAAAAATTAGAGCACCACTTTGATTTCGCGGGAAAACAGAAGAAGCTGTGGTTGTGTTAAAGAATGTTAAATTGTCCCTGGCAACGAAATTCTGATTTAGGCCATTGCAACATCAGAGAAAAACTTATGAAATTGTGAAGGATTTCCCAAGAGACTACGGTGTGATTGCAAAATTCTCCCTCTTCTAGCATTTTAAAGTATTCTCAGATTTTGAAAGGCAGGAATGATATACACTAACCTGATGTACGTCACCAAACACGCTTTCTATATAAATCTTAGGCTCTTGATTGTTGAAGTCGTCCAGTAACGAATCAAGAGTGATTTGGAACGAGTCTACCGAGAATTCGAATTGACGTCGCATCTTATCGACGAATTTCAGCTCAATACATCTACCGAAGTCATTGTGGAGAGAGAAAAGAGACCAACGATCATCATCACCAGACACCTATAGGTAAACGAGTTACGATTTTAGAGTATGAACGATTTCTCTTAGAGTTGAACCATGATCGGAGCCACAATTGTATATTCAACCTGCTAGTACCGCTACACGGTTAGCACCCGAACTCCACCGACATTTCACTTGATGAACATAAACCATGTGCCATGTGAGCAAACTTCACTTATGCAGTAACAAACTCATAATATGCTACAGATATCCCACAAACCTTGACCATTTTTCCAATATATACATCTTTTACGGTGTCAGCATTAATTTTCGACTTGTTTGCGGATGGTATCATGTCCATAATAGTATCGAACACTGCTTCGCGAACCTGCAAACATCATCGATATAGTTTCCAGGATGTCCAGCAGTTGAAGTCGTGCAAAATATTACATTTAATCATTTAATATCTTTCAATACTACTGTGTTAATAGTTTTAGTTTCTCTTACTAGATATTTAGAATAAAGAAGGTCCTCGTGTCCTCTTTCTTAAACTCTGTCGCAATTCCAGAAACCGAGCTAAGCAACAGATAAAAACAGTTGGAAATGGGCGCAAAATCTACAATCAAGTTCTAGAACGCTCCCTAGATCTAGAGAGTTCTAGAACCTTCCAGAAAACGTTGCAATTCTAATGAGATAGACGTGATGTTCAGAAAAACTTAAGACATTAGTGAAACAAACTCGGAGATCACAATGTTCGGCCATACTTTATCAAAACTGTCCGAGTTTTCCACTTCCATAGGAAATATGAGATCCAGATCAGCATATGAGAAATCATCAGCGGAGGCCACATGAGATGCCGCACCACCATTTAGTTTCACCGATTTCGGTGGCATACCAGCTTGCCTAAAACGTTTACTCCATTTAATCAGCGGAACAAATGGCTTCCAATATTCACTGAAGATTTAATACAGTTTTTATGTATCGTTCAAGATAATATGCCGTAGAGATTATATAAGCCGTAGAAGACTTCTAGTTCTAATCGTCAAACCACTTTGATAAATGGAAGCATGGCAGTATTCCACTTTTAAATGAATGCCAGTTTTTATTGGGTGGAACAATGGCGTCTGACTTTAACCCTAAAACATGGAGGTTTGTTTTTGGTTGATTATTGTTTATTTTTCCACGTTAGGACGCGTGCAGCGAAATGGTTACAAGTGCCATCCAATACATACAAGGTCGTTGTTTCGATCCCATGCCACGGGTAAAGCGAGCGCTCCATCCTCCCGAAGTTGGCAAATTAGCACTAGACTTGTCTGGCAGGGTAAAAAAACACTGACTTGCTTTATCGGTATGTCATAGCAAATAATTGCACAGGCCAGCTATGCGCTCAATTATCTCCATGACACTACGAATTGAGTCGAATGCATTGCGTTTCCTTAGGGGATTGATCATTGCCGAACGCCTATTTATTCTCTATCCTTCCTTGCTGTTGTCAGCATTTATGATGACTTCGTTAACATACATATATGAGCCGGTATCGTTGATTGAACAGAAGGAGAAATGAAGAAACTAAATCTGGAGGCTCACAAGAACCACAAATATTAAAGCAGATGAAATTTACTAGACACTAATGTAGTTGCCCTCGAATACCGTGCCAGTTCCCAATCTACGATCTTTCAGTGAGCGAAAAATTAGTCCATTTTTTGCTTTATTTACGATCTATTTCTTCAGTATGAGGAGCCTTAACCAGTGTCGAAGATGCCAATGTTCTTCCGTATCGGCTACCCATATACATCACACTGTCATCGGAAACGGAGACGTTCAAGATGGAATTCACCAGATCGTCATCAGAATATAAGACATGTTGCTTCGCATAAAATTTTTTGCAACATAATAGTTTGCATCGCTGGCAATTCTGCAGCCCATCCGTCTCGTCCACACCTTTTGATGAAAAATAAGAGCATTCTTCCAATTATTTTCGTTCACAACAGAATACAACTAACATCTAAAACCACTGGGCTTCTTTCTTCTGCAATGCCTTCACGACATCTAAAAAATATTATTTCTCTGCTAATACCTGCGAACACGAAATTCCAAATGACGACGACGACGACGACGACATTTCCAAGAAAGGTTGATGAGGAGCAAAATTTATTGCTTATAGGCATAATTACGAGTACCAACGTCTAAGCGGTGATATTTGATGTTTGCTAATATCAGCAAGCAACGATATCATCCGTTATAAAAATAGAAATGAGATAACGGTTCACCTGAGTTTTTCTCGAACGCATGAAATGATGTCGATGAGACGAGCAGAGATTGTGGGGAAATTCCCTTTCCCGTGGATTTCGACCGTCTCGTTGAGGACGGTACGTAGACGATTAATCTGAAATATCGTAACAGTAGTGGCGTAACCGTTGATTCAAAAAAAAGTGGTTTGTGCTTGTAAAAAACCGCTGTTATTCCATTAACACATCGTTGGTTGTATCTGGCGCTAAAGGACTAACTATGCCTCTCAGGGTTCGGTGTCATCTAATTGGTACCAGTTGTCTTAGTGTATGAACACACAGACTTGAAGCATCAGCAGGCACCCGCAAGTTATATTGTAGGCCAAATATGCATTAAATGACCTCTATGATGCCACGAATGGACCCGAACGCATGGCTCAATCCCAAAAGAATAATCAACGTCGAGTGCTTTATTGCTTGTGCTACCGATGTCGATAGTCACTCGCAGTGAAATCGTGTAGATCAGAGTGTGAACAAAATGAATTTCGAGTACCTTCTACAGGAGGAGATCTATTAAAAGTTGTCCAAAAATCATCGTTACTACAAATTTATCTCAAATGTGAGCATCGCTATAAATTCAATCACGGAAAAAATAGAACGTTATTGGTTTCAATTAAATAATATTGGATAAAATTTCGCTTCATACTGTACCGAGAACCAATGGGAATTTTGCTTGCATTTCCGGCATTGTCGACAAAATCGCAAGTAGTCCAGGTGGCCGAGTTATTGCGTGAGACAACTCGTCCCGTAATCACACCGACTTGAACAATTCGTTAGTTACGATGCTTTTCTCTGCCACCAACACAAGCAACGTTGCATGTGAATCCATTCTTCATTGCTTTTAGTGTAATGAAGAGCGAACATGGTTATAAAGAAAAATTCCGGACGCTTTCTAAACGTGTGCTGCCGCAAGTTTCGATGTTCTTTTTGCGTAGATGGTAGAGTACTGCTTCCATGGGTAAAGTATTATTTTTAGTTCTACTTTCTACAAAAATTTTCGCAAACTGAGTTAATATTGACGGTTAAATCTTTTCAGGAATATCTTTCTCTTCCCGTTTCCGCTTTTAGTTGATAGGAAAAGCAATGAGTTCTGAAAATGCTTTCCGTCGACGATGTCATCACGCGTCATTGGGCTTCGGGCAGTAATTAGGGAGTACTGGTACAACTGGGCAGATATTGCGTGCAGAGCCGCGTAGCGCTTTTGAAGTATTTTTAGAGTCTAATGAAAAGTAGTCCGCAATTTTTCATCCTTTTGTCCACACATCTTTCATGAAACTATTGCCGACGATAACCATTATAATATCCAGGTTACACTGAATACAGAACTAATTTAACAGTTTGCTAGAAAAGCTTTGAGATAAATCGAGAAAAGAAGGCGAAACCGCTGAAATTAGTGAGAAATGGATTAGAAGTCCCCGATCTGACAATGTTTAAATAATGACGACGAGAACAACGCGTAGCCGCTTCCAATTAGAGCCGACACTCAGGCGAGCGGTTTAGTCTACTGGTTAGGAAGAGTTGAGGGGGATACCACACAGTCGAAACAACGAGACCCAGAAGAACAGCTCCAACGTCGTGGAATAAAGTACGGCAACCTTTGAACCTTCTTAGCCAATCAGTTTGCAAATCCAATTGTTTTGAAACCAAATTTCGCTTAACCTACGTAAAAAGAATAATCAATGCCTCGTTTTTGTGATGATGAGCTTACACTTGGTTGTTATAGAATTTCCATTCGGCTAATGTTTCAGCGCCTTCGCTTTCTTTAGGGCCAGATTGTACACAGTAATTGTTCATTCTTGTGATCGACTACAGCCGAATGTGATCGAGACTACAAACATCTACAAGATTTCTACCAATGTCAAGTGAAAGTTGCTTTACAAAAGGAATGCTTCGCTATGTGTCAGTTAATCACTTGTTTGGAGCTCCTTCCGATCTGTTCGATTCTTAATGGCGAGTCGTTCAGTGGTGTTACCTTGCAGAGAAAAAGAGGGAGAGAGAAAGAGAGAGAGTACTATCGCACCTGTTTTCGCGTAAGCTCCATTGTGCTTGTCACATACGGTCCCCCATTGTCCATCATATTTTTTGAAGTTGTACTATGCGTACGAGGAGCCACAGTGAGCTGAAAATTATTGAAAATGAGTATGGTACAGCTTATGTACAATCCACATCAACATTCTGTTCTTCACAATGAGAGGCACTACCCTAACGTTATCGGAGCGAAAAGGAAATTATCGATAACAATCAAATCGAATTGTGCTTGATTCATGTATGCTGATAGAATTCGGAGACAACACGGAAGAAGAAACAGAGTTTGATTCAACATCAAAAATGTAAAAGGAACTTGAGACATGTTTGAACAAAGGTCATTAGCAGCAAACCAGAACGTGGCTCACGGGCACAAATGAAAAGCAGCTAGGTTTTCTGGAGTTGAGCCTCTACATAAGCATATCGGACGTATTCAGTAGGAAAAAGAAATGGCCTTCGACACCAGAAGCAAATGTAATAGAATGATGAAGACGAAGATGACGAAGGTAAAATATGTGGTTTCTACAGTATCAAACGAATCTTTGTAGATGAAATGTGATCTTTCGCTACAAACAGGTGGCTTAACTTTCAAAAGAATATAAACTTAAAGCAAAACGGTATTGTTCAAAGATGCCAAGTTTTGGAAAAATTTGAATGTACAAGGTAGAATCAGAATGAATGAGAGCCTGGAGGATAAAGAAGATGAAGCATCATTAAACTGAAACCTTAAGTTACATGGCTGCCTCGAAAACGTTTACCACAGAAAAAAAAATTTGAAACGATGCTTAAATATAAATCAGTTAATCGAAAGGACTGAAACCGATAAAAGGATCTCGTTGAAGACTCTTGAAATGGCGTGTGAAAAATGGGTCATGATTGAGACTCAGATAGTGCAAATCACCTAGTGCGAACTGAAATATGTTGAGGAACACGAGTTAAAAGTGAAAAAAAACCTTGAGACAAATATTGTATTAGGTAGAAGGCACATTATAAGATTCGAAAGGCCTTTCTTCAAAGGCAATTATGAGATTTCTCAAAATGACAGCTAACTTAAAAAGTCTAAACAATCCCTCGATAAGAGGATTATTTATTGTACAATGATGCCATATCAATGAAACGGCTTATCAGCAGTGCGAAGGAATTGAACTGACGAACGACTAACGATATCTGTTCACTCACCCCTCTAGGCCAATGTGACACTATACGGTTCCTTGTTGAATGCATCAGACTCGTCGACGATGATGACGATGACAAGCGCTCCTTCTTCTGACGATGGCGATCAATGCCAAGCTTGCCGCTAGCGGTGTCCAGTCGGCCCGCCCCGAAGATGACGACGACGTCGACGACGACGACGACGACGACGACGACGACGACGAGGGCGACGACGACGACGACGACGGTGGCGGCGACCGTCCCGCCCACAGGGCAGAGTGGGCGCCTCCTTTGCTCCGACGCTATCTCGTCGCTTTCGATCCAGCACTCTCGCCTCAGAACTGGTTATCTCAGCGCTGTTTTCAATCCCCGTTTCGCCGAGCTCCCACAGCTACCTTCTAGAACCATCTATGGGCTCGCTTGGCTATTCTGCACTCGTCACGCTCTCTCACATTGCTCGAGGGCTCCTTGCCCACGCGTCTCAACGTCATTTTTGTTGATGAACAGAAATGATGTCATTGCACTCCGAAGGCGGAGTGAGCTAAAAGTGACGTCGATTGGCTAATGTCCGGAATTCGTCACTACAATAGCATTAAATCTTCAAGACTTGCTCATTTACAGAGCAAGAGGGACTAGGTACAGCTGTGACCAGCTTCAGAAATAGAGAGTCTGTCTGTAGATATTTTCAATACTGACTTTCATTTAATCTTAATATGGATGATTAATATCTTGGTTTACTCACAAGCTTATCATATCATAGGCTTATTTCTGGCTTCTTCAGAGCCTCAAAGTGTTTAGCGCAGTTTTTGCGCTGTAGATTTTCGTTGTCGCATTGGATCCAATCCATTGAAGTGGAACATCGCATGAATATAGTGGTTTTTCCAGCAATGGACGTTTATACAGGACGAATCTCAATCTCTGGTTTCGAAGCATTAGCCAGAACAACATTCTAAAACAATCACGCCTAAACTAATCAATATTCCAAGATACTGACTACTCATGCGCCGATTATATGGATATCGGTGCTGAAAATACTGCTTAGCTATGAAAAGGACAAAGCTTTTTGGCGTTGATCAAACCCTGCGGGAAGCACCGTGCATTCAACTTCATCAAGCATCGTATGACGCGATTAAATGCATATCTGATCCTCGATAATAACTCATGGTGGTACACTGATGTATCAAATCAGTGCTGCTACCTTCTCAAGCAAGTCTCTTACCAATTTGCCCACCCTGAAAGGATGGAGACTTTGGTGAGCTCAGAGGCGAGATCAAACCAACAATCACTTGTTTATTACAGGGTATCTCTAAGCACTGCACTACACGTGCTCCGTTGCTTCGCTGTGTGCCACTTAACCTAATTCTGCTTGCTATAGAATGGGCTCTCACTATGAAAACGAATAACATGAGATGACATTAGATCACCAGAGTGACTCGATCCCATAAACGTAGAAAACAAGTGGTTGCGACTTTAAGAAATTATTGACTGCTTCTAACATGTGCTGCTGCATTTTACTGAGAGTGAGAGCATAGCAGGACCCTCGGCGCACAATAATCCACTGCTTCCCGATTGAAGCAGTACAGAGGGCGACGTAGAAAAGTGGACGACCACCTTACGAACAGACTCTCACAAAGGTTGTTCTATGACCTTCGGAATACACGGTGAATGGGAATAACTCCACTGGATTATATCTCAGACAGGTATAGCATAAAAAGTGATTTGAAGGACGGAAATCGAAAAGATAAGAACTTGAAATTGTGCAACACAAATTTGTTAGCAAGCAACGTCAGAGACGATGCGTAAAAAATGTTGTTAACTAAGGCAGCAGTTCCTATACAAATCGACTCACCTAGGATGGGATGCTGATTGAGGTTTCAAATCAGAAGCCCAACTAATAGTAGATTAGCACCAGAAAATGGTTTCTACTTTACATCAAATTGGAAACGAAGTTGTAAATTCTCACTTTCCATACGAGAACTATTAACTTCCTTGTGGTGATGAGCAGAGAAAGCGCTAATAAGGTTGTCTCAAAGTTCCACCGAAAAAAAATCATAATCAACCACAAAAAACCAATTCAATGTAATCTAGAATCGACATTTGTGTGCGATTGTCGCACAACCACGTATTAGTAAAACTCAGTAGAAAAAGCATACAAACAAGCACCAACATACGGTAGGTCCCACGACTTTTTTTTACTTTACATGACCCGTCATCACATTTACTGTGCACATCAAAGCACTTCTCGCATTCTATTCGTTTTCCTCGCACTCATCATCCACAATGGCCTGCGAACATTTTGGCTTTTGTTTCAGCTGCTGCTTCAGGATTTCGTCTTCTTCATCAATGTCGTAAAATGCCGTTGGGGACAATTCTTCTTGTAATTTTAGATATACTCGGGTTAGGGCGGTCCCACGTGGACTGGAGAAGAGCGTAGGGGGCGGACATTGAACCAGCGCCTTTTGTTTCCTGATCAACGGCACACTAACCACTGCGCTCTCGCCTACCAGATGACACTACAGGTAACAAGGAAATTGGAGCAAAAGAAAAAAAGAACAAGTTGTAATATTATTGAACCAGGAATCTAGGACAACCCTAGTTAACCTATTCCCTATACATCATTTGTCTCATAGTCCGTAGAAAATGCAGTGAATCGAAACGTGTCATTTGAAACCCATCACGCAGCCATGCATCTCTTCCGAAATGACATTCACCAAACAAGTAAGTCGCCATTAATGCCACCACAACAAATTTCACTCCGAATATCAGAGTCTGAACTCGTAACGTTACAACGACCATTGTAACCTGTGCGAGGTGAGTGTTGTGAAAATTGTGCTTCGGCACAAATTGGTAGCGGGCCAAATGTGTACAAGTAACACTAAAGAGCACTCAATTTTATGTGCTACTTTCCTTAATGCTTCACACTTTACGTTTTGCGCTAAGCTCCGACAAACTTGTTACTGAATTGCCGACGGCAGTTATTGTAAGCAGAGCGCCTAAGCAAAGTCTAATATTTCAAGGAAACGGCTCACAGGAATTAAACTGGTAATCATTTTGCTCAACACAGTTGTGTAAATTGTTCGGCTTACATGAGATTGTTATTTAACTTTTATTAGGCCAACGTTTCTATGTCTTCGTCTTCTTCAGAGCCGGTTGATTCGAGTCGATGCTGCACAGTTATTCGCCTCGTGGTGTGAGCACTTCTCGCGTGGGACACCGCTCGAAAGACGTAACCCCACTTGGCGGTATTCTTTTAACAGAGCAGTTTTTGACTGATTGTGGATTGATGATGATTTCTCTTCATACCGACAATCCATCTTGTAACAATCAATGTTAGAACAGCTACCACATCCGGAATGCCAATACTTTACCATACCGAATTTCACTTGACCTCAACGTGAGTTATTAACACGTCGTTCAGATATTGATTGTATTGATTGTCGCTGATTACTGCTGTTATTACTGTTGATTACACATTGATTATACACGCCGGCGAAAGTCGGCTTAATATTGTGCTACTCCGCTATCTGCTAGCTATTCTAATACCGAGTGTTACAGGATGAATTGTCGACAATCAGTCAATAACCGCCCTTTATAAAGAGACATCGCCCAGTGAGGTTACTTCATTCGAGTGGTGCTCCATTTAAGAAGATAGGACTCAATAAGACTGCGAAGACTTAAAACGCGAAGAAGATCGACTGTAAGCCATCGGCTTCGATTACCAGCTCTGAAGAAGACTAAGACGTCGAGGCTTCATCCGAAAAAATATCTAACCAATTCGTGTCAGCTGAAGAATCCAAACAAGTATATTGGTTGTTCATGCCGAGGTTAAGAAAAAGTCGGTTTAGTAGAGTATTTTCTTCAATCTCAGATTATCACATAAATCACCGAGGTGGTCTTGTACTCTAGAGACATGGTTCACAGAGATTAAATAGGAAATCACTTTGTTCAATCCTAGGTTATCATAGTAATGGCCGGAGTTATTCTAGTTTAATAATATGCTTCACAGATAAGCTAACAAAAATTTCAGACGGCATGCAAATCCTTTCCTATAAAGTGATCAGAGAAACTCTCGGAATTAGAAGCATTAGTGCTACGAACGGAAATTAAGTCTTAGTGCTCGGAGTCGTTGACGAAAAAAGAAGAAGGAAAAGTTCACTAGTACTCATCGTCATTACCTAATCAAGTACAATAGTGCATTAGGTTCATAAAGAGACAAAAAACGTCACTGAAATTCTCTCGCTAAACTTGGGAGTACGACGGAGGAACTCCTACTTTTGATTCTTTCTACAAAAAAAAAAACAAGTCGAATTCCCAAGATGTCAAGGGATGAGGTTAGGATGTTTACGATTAGATATGATGTCATCTAGAACCTTTACATGAATTGGACCATCTTTCATTTACTGGATCAATCGACTTCGGTTACCCAGTGGAACCCTTTCATACCTTTTTTAAAAGCTCCCATTCTTACTTGATCGTTAATTTTCTGCATTTCACATAGAAATATTGACAATTTCAGGAATCATTCGTAAACAATAAATCCTCAGAGTTCTGCAAACCTTTCCTTGTTTTCCAGTTACTGCAGTTTTTCAAACTTGTGGTTCTCTCCTTATGAAATAACAAACAACTGGCGGCGGTCTTAAGGCGAAAGTTCAACGAGCTCAACAAAACAAACAAGTTCGATGGAAATCACGTGGAGGCGGCCGATATACTGAAATTACTCTCACCAGAATTCATCGAAGTTTCATTAGGCTGCTGGAAACAACAGTCTGTTCAAAAAACATGATTATAGACATAGCTGAAGAACACACTTTAGCTTTTCGTAAGACGACATATTTCGATTTTACTGGTCACCCAGGTAGAAATAAGACGATGGGTGGATGGATGTCGAAGTACCCCATAGTGTTCGCGGTTCTAAGGCTACGTTTCGCAGCGAAAGGTAGCCTCAATTGTTGAAAAATTGACTCAGACTCTTCTAAAAGGAACAGGTGATAGCGGTTTTTTGATAGAATGACGCAGTAGCGACGGTTGCACAACACCTGCCCGAACGAGGAACGAACGTGAACAATAGTATATTACGCCAAAATAACAACCAAAACAGGTATTGAATTCAAAATATTCATAAATAGGATTTTGCAGTATTATATTCTACTGTAAAGACGATTTCGCTTATCCAGTACCATGTTTTCGCTTTATGTAAACTGAATGACTACTCTCTACACGTACTCGATTTTTCGCTGAAAAAGGTGCCCTGTAGTGTTTTCACATTCCTATGCCGTCTCCTAGTCATGAAAAGACCGCTTTTTCAGTTTAGAAGAAATTTTGAACAATCGACAAATTCTTCATACATTTGACAGGATGGATGGAATATATTCTTGGAAGATGAGCCTTTTTTCCTAAGGAAG